TAGTTGTATCAAACTGGGATACCATGTTTTTTAATTTGGTATCCAAACCTTAAGGCTAGTATCCTATTTAATGTCCACAAAAACAAAGATTTTTTAATTAATATCAACAGTTCTTGACTGATTATCCCCAGGTGTTGCCAATGCATTCTGGTGTGCTACAGATCTCTTGTGGCCTTTACTGATATTATGAGTTTGTAAAGCCTTGACATGAAAATTTGTACAGCCCCCCTTGACAAATTTTGAGTCCTTATCGGACAAACTGTTGTTCTCCAAACAAGTTTTACAGAACATTTTGCCATCCTGAAGCGTCGCCCACAGGAATGATTTCGTCCAGCTTTTACTGAAGCTTCGTGCTCGCTTTGCTTGTTCGTAATGGCGTTTTACTTCGGCGTTCCTTTTTTCTCGTCGCACTTGCTCTGCAGATCGTTTAGCATTATACAAGCTGCTTCGAAATTTGCATTCACACAAAACAAAATACTATAAATGCAAAACATGAAATTTTCGAGGAAATTTTGCAACGTTTTTCGCGTGCATTTAACACGCGAATGCCCGAATATAAGGCATGATATGCATGCACACACATTAAAATTGGGGCACCTGTGCGCCTGCACCTTTATTGTGAATTTTGCGAACTGTTTCTACGCAAAAACAAGTTTTTTATCGTGATTTTTTCTTAGTATCCCAAAGGGATACTAAGATCATGAAATTTAGTATCCAAACGTCAAATTTAGTATCCCGTGGATATTGGGATACCGCTAATTTCGTGCCCTGCTACAGGAGTACAGGGTAGTGAGGGCAGGTCAATTTATTGCAAGTTGTGCATCATTGGAAAGATCTTTCATGTTTGTGCCTCAAATATATGACAATATGTTATATGACAATGATTTTCCGAGAGCCAAATATAAACTTGAAGAGTCGAAGTCTGCAAGCCTAAAGACTTTAAGTTTTAATTTCTAATTGTATTTCAATATAAACGACTGAAGCATCAAGCATATGCGTATACCAGAATATGTGATCTTTTATCTTTATATTGAAAACTTATTGTGAATATTAATTTATTTGCATCCATGAATACCATTTGCATAATGCCTTTGTTCGCAGCCATGACTTCAATCAATATGCATATTGATGCATATGCATCAGTGAAAAGCTTAAACGTCACAGTAGAATCCAAATCGAGGCTTAAAGCAAAGAGGTAGCAAAATGCCTGTAATATCTGCATGAGTGCATCGGTCGGCGGACCCAAATCTACCCTCAAAACAATGGAAATGTTTACGTCACGATCGATTTCACATGGAAAAAGACTCGAGACCGGTGCACAAATCTACTCTCAAAACAATGGAAATGAATTGTCACAGTAGATATCATGCGGAAAGGGACTTGGAACCGGTGCACTCACAGGTGCTACGACGTTATGTAATGTTTTGACGCAATGACGTAATTAAACGAAATATTTCCTGTCGCAAAATTTTTTAAGACTACTCGTCGATTAACAAAGAAAGTTCGAAGCAATGTTTTGATCAGAGATATGGATAACTTGACAGAAAATATGAACTTAAATCGCTGGTTTGAACTGATTAAATATTCTGAACCTATTTAAGCAAAGGTGGCATCAGTCTGGTTAGTTATAAGGCAAATATAAGCCGATATAAAGTATTTTTTATTTGTGTATAAAAGATAAAAAATATAATATTCGTCTAATGTATTCCTATAAATATAATAGCCTTGATTTCACAATTTTGACCGATGCATTTGCATCTGTTGCATCGGTCTATATCCGCCCCTGGTATTTATTAACTAACAGCCCTACATATGCAACTTTTTACTCCACTACAGTAGTAAAATGCAATACAAATATACAGTTTATTTATAAAGAATATTAAAATGGATATAGATGATTAACTTAATAAACATTTGCTCATTAACTCACAGTATTTTTGTTAACAATGCATAATGAAACAACTTGTCCTTCTGCCTTGTTTAGTTGAAAATCACCTGGCACAAAAAAGTCTGCAATGAATTTGTGATGTTTATCGGTTATTCTAGATCATGGCATGTTTATTCTAGATGAGAAACAATCTTATCATTTTTCCCGAATCTTTTTTGAAACGCTCATATAAAGATAACAAGTACATACTGCATGTTAGGATGGCATTAGAAAATAGTTTATAATGGCAAATAAATCTTATACTGTTGGGCTCTTTTTCACTCATGGCAAAAACACTGTGAATACTTTCAAATAGATACACTCCTAGTTAATTAAATAGCAAATAAAAGACATACAATATAAGTAAGAGAGCGAGCACATGGTCTCCAGTTACTATGACGATACAGAACAAAGCAAATCTGACATAGCAAATCTCACTATGACACAGCTAGGAAGAGTTCTCCTTCGTTGAACGCAATAAAAAGCCAATCAGGATAAAAGCTGGCCAGACCTTACACATACTTTACTAGTATCAGGATACATAAAACTGCTCCTTCAGAGTAACACCTCTATAAAGGAGGATCTAATGGGAGGGAAGTGTTGAGTCTTTGTTTTTAGAGATAATTAGTGCTGTAGGTAAAAACATTATGGTGGGCATTGTTTATAGACCTCCAAGCCGTTCATGATTTTATATCCAACCTTAATACGCTGATGGGAATAAGTTCTCTTATTTAATGTGATTATAATTTAAATCTTCTGAACCATTACTGCCATCAACTCACCGGGGGATTTTTAGATATAATGTTATCCAACAAGATTAAATTAATTCTTCAATAAATTATCCAACAATATTAACATCACATACTGCTACACTAATTGATAATATATTTGCTAGTCACTCAGATAAGTATTCTTTTAGCAGCTTGTTACTCCTCAATATTTCTGATCATCTGCCAGTATTTTATATTATTTGCGAACAGTTCATGGATTCTAATGACGACTCTTGTATTGTTTTCCACAATGAATGTGAAGCTAATGTACCTTAATTTCGCCAGCGATTAGCTAACATTAATTCAAATAACTTAGATGGGTTTAATAATTTATATGGGTTATTTAAATCTGGTGACCGTAGACTTGTTCAAAATTATAGACCAGTACCGGTGCTACCTATTTTTCCGAACCTGTTGGAAAGAGTCATTTATAACCTTATAATAAATTATATTAACCAATTAGATATTCTTTTTGAAAATCAGTACGACTTCAGAAAAAAAAAAAGAAGGGTTTAGGCTTTGATGCATTTGCGTGATAAAGTAACAGCTGCGATTGATCGACAGGAATTTACAATTGGGATCATTCTTGACCTTTCCAAGGCACTTGATACAGCAAATCATAAGAATTTGTTTGACAAACTTAATCACATATGAGGAGTTGCACTTAATTGGATAAAAAATTACTTCACTAATAGGTTGCAATAATATGTACAATATAAGATTTTCTCCACTAGCAAATGTACGAAGTGTGGGGTGCCACAAGGTTCTAAATTGGATCAGATAAATACAAAATTGGATCAGATATAATCAAGTTTGTCCATAAGTCAACATCCCTTGGTATTACAATTGATAACCACCTTAAATGTGATGAGAAAATCAAGAAGGTAACTAAAGTATTTTGTGCAACTTGGACAACTTTTGGACAACTTTGCTGGATGTCGTATTTGCCTATAAAAGTTCAGGAAGAGATTTATTTCACGTGTATCATTGCTGCTGTTACATATGGTGTGTCTGTGTGGGGAACATGTTCACCATCTTTAATGTACGACATTGAGAAGATTCACTTAAGGGCTGCTAGAATCATTCATAGAATACCAAAATCAACACCTGAAGAAGAGGTTTTATTAGCTGCTAATTGGCAAGAAATAGATTACATTTATAAAAGAAAAATTCATGTGTTGATGCATAAATCATTTTATAATAAGTTACCAGAGTCATTAGAAATTCATTTTAAACATTTAAAAACTCGTTGTAGAGATAGTTATAAGTTTGAAATTCCAAGATGCTCGAAGGAAATTGGATGTGTATCGATAAGGTATAGAGGTCCTCAGGGGCGCCGTGGCCGGGGGGGGGCCCAGGATTAAAACCTGTCGGAAATTTACGAACATTGCATGTTGTCGGAGTATATCAATCATAACAGAGACTAAGCTATTTTTGCATTTGTGGCTGTGTTCTATCAGAAAATAGACGCGGTTATTTCTAATATTATACGGTACGACACTACCCCAATTTTTTGTGGGTAGCCTGCGCATGCGCGGCTAACCACTATGTAGTCGAAAAACTGTCCGGATGTGTCTGTCTGTCTGTTGCCACATGTTCGGCAATCGTCGGATATACGAGAGATGAACGAGAGATGACGAACGTACTGTTCGTTCTACTTCCGGAAAATTTCATGGCTTTCGGATGAGAGAACCGAACTACGTTAATACTTTGTCAAATTTTAAAGCAAAGGTGAGTACTTTAAAGTTTGTGTATTTTATCTGACATTTGTTATTTTAATCGCTCGTTTTTCTACCGTGGTCGAGGAATTTCGATCGCAATCGGATTATTGGAGCGTAGATATATATTCGGGGCAAACTTGCCTGCACTGACGGTTTGTCAGGCGCTCTACGTGTCGGAGGTGCACGTATCAAAAATCAAAATCAAACAAATAACCTGGAGCCATTGTTGCTCGCACTGCTCGTCATAGAGCAGGGTACTATTCACGTGAAAGGCCACGTATCAAAACTAAACCTAGCCATTGTGCAGGTATTGAAACTAAACCTAGCCATTGTGCAGGTATTGAAATCGAACCCAGCCATTGTGCGGGTATATAAAACGACAGCCGTTGTGCTCGTACAAACAAACTATTTAACATTGCTGCCAACTTGCAACCCAAATATACCTGCCGACTTGCTGGCAGATTACTGACAAATAAGAGACTTTATAAATTCAAGAATTGACATTTGGTTTCTGAGTTCTGGACCATAAATATGGGTGTTACTATTGAAGTTTATCGCGCCAGGATTGGTTCACATCACAATTTTACAGATTGTCGCAACAGTCTGTGTCGTCTTAAAGGTATACTTTGGAATCAATTACTATTAATGTTTTACTTTAATGTATTCTGCTTGCCTTATCTCAAGAGCCAATTGCATAATAGCCAAAAAAACATTGACTTATTCTTATGGTATGTTCAAATGATATACTATCACAATGTTTATGTGCCATTATTACTGAGACTTTCAAATGATGTGGAGGAAAATCCAGGTCCTAGGACTATAAATGATATAGTTGACCCTGCTTGTACAATCCATGCTGATTTTAATCAAGGTAATGAGCTAATGTTTGGTGTGAATGCTGGTAAACAGTGTGTAGCTATGTCATTATATGCAATTGTTTACAATGAAATTAAATCTGTCAATATTTGGGACAAGTCAATTCTAAACTCAATTTTAGTAAGTGGAAACAGTTTGTATTGTGTTATCAGCCAAAGTATAAATAAGAGTTATTTATTATTAACTGATGTGCCTGAGTTTGTAGACATAGATAATCATACCTTTAATTTGCAATATAGTGATTCCTTTTCAGGATCATTATATTTGAGTGAAAATAATCTCCCATATGTGACTCTTGAGCATGCTCTGAATGAAGTATTTCATTCTTTAAACTATAAAAGTTGTTTACTTACAATTGGTATGAACACTGTGGCAATCATGATGCCTTTTCCTGATGTATTTAAAGTGTTTGATTCTCATTCACGAGATATGTATGGTAGACCATCCGCATTGCATTACTGTGTTTTGATATCAGTGGAAGGAATAGAAAATCTTGCAGAGTATTTTCGGTTAACTTCAAGGTGCAATGAAGCAAATATTGTTTTGCCATTTGAGTTAAAGGGTTTAAGGTGCATCGATAATAATGATTTAGAGACAGCTACTCAGCTACTTGAACAACATAGTGTTAACAGAAAAGAATTGAACAATCAAATAATCGGCAATACATTTAGAAAAAGGGTGAGACCAGATGAGTCACCAGAGAAAAAAGAAGCTAGACTTGCAAAAAATAGAAATGCTGATAAAGTAAGAAGGCAAAATGAGTCAGCAGAGCAAAATGAAGCTAGACTTGCAAAAAATAGAAATGCTGATAAAGTAAGAAGGCAAAATGAGTCAGTAGAGCAAAATGAAGCTAGACTTGCAAAAAATAGAAATGCTGATAAAGTAAGAAGGCAAAATGAGTCAGCAGAGCAAAGGGAAGCTAGACTTGCAAAAAATAGAAATGCTGCAAAAGTAAGAAGACAAAATGAGTCAGCAGAGCAAAAGGAAGCTAGACTTGCAAAAAATAGAAATGCTAAGAATGCAACAAAACAAAATGAAACTATTGAGCAAAGGATTGCAAGAATTGCAAAAGAGAAAGAAAGAAAGAGAGCTTCTCGAAAAAATACTCCCTCTGCAAAGCAAAAGAAAAGTAATGAGTCACATTCAGTTGAATCAGTTCGAAATATTGCAAATGCTGAGAATTCTTACTTGTCTAATGAAGATATTGATACATTGACACTTGTGAGAAAATTTCATAACTCTGTATCTACAGGACCTTTGTATGTTTGCACTTGCTGTGACCAATTATGGTATAAACATTCTGTTTCTCTGGCAGACAGAATACGAATGGTCAATCCTGATATAACCAAGTATCTACAAAATAAAAAGTTTGATAACATTGAATGGCTTTGTCGAACTTGTAACAATCATTTAAAGAAAAGAAAGTTCCCCCTTGTGCAATTGCTAATGGCATGAAATTTCCAGAAAGACCTTCTTTCTTTGATCTAAATGAACTAGAATGTCGACTTATTGCTCCTCGGTTGGCATTTCAAAAGATTTTTCAGGCCCCAAGAGGTGGCCAACTCAAGATTACTGGTAATGTTGTCAATGTGCCTGCAGATGTAAACAGCACTGTTAATGTGCTGCCCAGACTATCAGATGAGACAGGTACTATTAAGGTTCAACTTAAACGAAGATTACAATACAAAAGCTCTGCACTTTCAATGAATATAAGACCTCACAAAGTAATGCAAGCAACTGCATGGTTAATTAACAAAGTGCTTTGTATCAAGATCAAGGAATTATTATAACGAGAATTGGTTAAGAAACCTGGAAAGGTCATTGGATGTGACCTGTGATATTGAAACATCAAATGGTGCAGATGATTTAACAACATCAAACCTCCCTGAAGATGAATGGAGTGAGGATGAAGCAGAAATACCAGCTGGAGTAACTGATAGTATGTTGACTCCTCCAGACTTTGTCAGTGACAGTGAAAGACAAGAAATCTATAATGTTGCACCTGGTGAAGGTAAGAGGCCATTGAGTATATTTAGAGATCAGTATTCTGAAGAAATGGCATATCCAGGAATATTTCTTGGACAAAAAAGACCAGATGATAAACAAAGGCTAAGAAGTGTTTACCATAGTGAAATATGTAAATCTGAGTTAAGAAGATCTGATCGACGAGCTGCCATGTGTGTTGAAAATATATTCTTCAAAGCTAAGAAGCTACAAATGAAATTCTTGATTGGTCAGTCGCAGATTGCGCTCCGAAAAAACAAAGTAGGTAACAGAACACTTACTGCTGGAGACCTAAAAACTACAGAAGGTTTACAAAGTTTAATAAACCATGATGATGGTTTCAGATTCTTAAAACTCTTAGGGGTTCACCGCCTTATTTTGAAAGAGCCAAAAAGGACTTGTTTGCCATGATTCGTCAGTTAGGACCAGCATCATTATTTTGCAGTTTCTCATCAGCAGAAACAAAATGGAATCATTTATTAGAATTCTTGGTAAACTTATTGATCACAAGGATTATAGTGATGAAGAATTGAACAATCTTAATGGGAGAAAGGTGTCGACTAATACAAAGTGACCCAGTAACCTGTACAAGACATTTTGATTTTCAGTTTAACACTTTCTTAAAAGACGTCTTAATGAGTGAACTTACTCCTGTAGGAAAAATTAAAGATTGGTTTTATATAGTTGAATACCAGCAGCGAGGATCACCTCATATTCATATGTTAATATGGCTTGAAAATACACCTGTGTTTGGTGTTGATAAAGATGAAGATGTTGTTGCTATATTGATAGCATAATTACCTGTAGCAAACCAGAAGAAGATACAGAATTACTTGATCTTGTAAATAGACAGACACACAGACATTCTCATACTTGCAGGAAAAAGTCTAAAAATGTTTGAGATTCAACTATCCACAACCACCAATGAGATGTACTCAGATCCTTTATCCACTTGATGAAGATATCTCTTCAACTGTTGCTAAAGCCAGTAAAGAATTGTGGAAAGAGATTAAAACGAAACTAAATGATTTTAAGGAAGGTAAAGACATTACTTTTGATGAATTAGCAAGAGTTAGGTGTTTCGAACGGCAATATATTCTTGCTATACGATCATCTTTAATACTCCGACAATCTTCTTAAAAAGAAGTCCAAATGAATTAAGATTAATAATTACAATCCTGTTTGCCTTCGGCATGGCGAGCAAATGGACATTCAATATGTCTTAGATGTATATGCATGTGCAATGTATATTGTATCATATATTTCCAAAGGTCAAAAAGGAATGAGTGAATTACTGCGTAAAGCTTGTGCTGAAGCGAAAGAAGGTAATACAAACAAACAGCAAGTTCGTGATATTGGCAACAAATTTTTGAATTCTGTTGAAATATGTGCACAAGAAGCCGTGTATATTGTTTTGCAACTTCCAATGCGAAAATCCTCGTAGTGTAATTTTCATTAACACATCTCCTCCTTCTGAAAGAGTCGAATTACTTAAACCATTGAGTGAAATAGAGAAAATGTCTGATGAATCAGAAGAAATTCAGTCTGGTGGTCTTTTAAAAAGATATGTAGAACGACCTGATTGTTTGCAAAATGTGACACTGGCCGATTGGGCAGCATGGTACGACTCTTGTGGTCAAAAAACATATAGGAAAACAAACAAGCCTGACGTTGATAATCTTCCATTAGAAAATGATGATGAAGATAATGACGACGAGTTGTTAAATGACGATAATCTTCCAGTTGTAAAAATCCTGAAAATATGAAAATAAAAAAAGATCTCGAGCTAGAGTAATCCGAAGTGTCTGGTTCAATAAAGAGCTCAACCTGAAAAACATTATCGCGAGTTAATTATGCTCTTTACTCCTTGGCGGAATGAGCAAACCGATTTGATGGGAAATTATTCCTGTTTTGAAGAGCACTATTTAGCTCGAAATGAAGAAATCAGTAAGCAAATGGAACAATATGCTGTTTGTAGTGAAGACTTAAATGAAATTGGACATCATTTAGACGAATGTGATGATGATGCTTTTGATACCATTGCACCTGTGACACAAGATGTTGAACGACATGATCAGGATGAAGGATGCGTGGATACACATCCTGATTTAAACGAAACATTTGATCATCTTGCTGAAATTTGGGCATACCGTCTTCTTTACCAAAAATGAGCCGTTGATTTTAAATGAAATGCAAGATAACGAATATCGAACCTTAGTTCAGCTGCTAAATAAGAAGCAAAGAGAATTCTTCTATCATGCTCTGCATTTGATAAAAACATCAGAAAAGCCATTTTACGCATTTCTCAGTGGAAGTGGAGGTGTCGGAAAGTCTCACCTTATTAAATCGACATACCAGGCGGCATTGAAGTATTACAATTCACGAGCAGGGACGATTTTCATCATGTTCATATATATTGCTTGCTCCAACAGGAAAAGCTGCATATCTTATAAAAGGTAACACGATTCACAGTGCCTTGCGCATTCCAGCCAGTCAGTCATTGAAAAATTATAAACCATTAGATTCTGGAAGACTGAATACGATGATGCGAACTAAGTTCATTAAAGTTAATATTGCTTGATGAGATATCAATGGTCGGCAACAGTATGTTCACCATTCAATTGAACAACCGTTTAAAAGATTTAAAAGGTAGTAAAGAAGATTTCGGCGGTGTCAGCATAATCACAATAGGTGACTTATTTCAACTAAAACCTGTAATGGATGGTTACATATTCACAGATATTCAATCTTTAAGTTCTTATGATGTTCTTGCCCCAAACTTATGGAGAAAATATTTTAGAATGTTTGAGCTTGATGAAATCATGCGACAGAGAGAAAGCAAGATTTTTGCCGAGATACTTAATCGATTTCGTGAAGGTAATCATACTCCGAGTGATCTACAAAAACTAAAGGAAAGATGTATTGAAGAGAGTGCTTGTCCCAGAGAAGCCCCACGTTTATTCATTCAAAATGCTTTAGTTGATGAATACAATGATATAGTTTTTCAATCATTTGATTGTGGTGATAAATACATAATCAAGGCACAAGATAGCGTCATTGGAGCCTGTTCAGCTGAACTGAGGGAAAAGATTATAAGACAAATACCACATGTTCCTTTGAAAAATTCAAAACAGTTGGCTCATAAACTTCATATTGCTGTTGGACAACGAACAGAAATTGCAGTGAATATACGCACTGATGATGGTCTGACAAACGGTGCAAGTAATGTCATTAAACATGTTCAATTGACTGATAATACTAAACCTTCTGGCATCGTCTGGGTTCTGTTTGACGACGAAGATGTTGGAAAGAAAACCCGACAAGAAAATAGAATTCTCTTTGCTCGAAATACATCTATACTAAGTACTTGGACACCAACAAAACCTGTTACTACGCAATTTGCTGTAGGTAAAACGAAGTCTGCTCAAGTGGTAAGAAAGCAATTTCCTTCTAGGCCAGCTGCCGCGAAAACGGTTCATCGATCACAATGTGATACTCAGTCACAAATTGTCGTTAATTTGAATACAAGAAGAGCAATTCCTCATATTCATTACGTCGCTCTAAGTCGAGTAACAAGAATCGAAGGGCTATATATAACTGATCTGTGCGAAAGTAAGATTTCCGTTGATCCTAAAGTTGTTGAAGAAATGCACTTACTGAGAAATGAGTATAAATTAGATCTTTGCTTTACTCCGTTGTACATGCTAAATCCCACTGATTTAAAAATTTGTTATCTTAATGCAAGAACTTTGCACAAACACATTGAAGATGTACGAAAAGATATTAATTATAGGTCAGCTGATATCCTAATTTTTACCGAAACGAGATTTCGTGAAGAAGATCCTGGTGAGATGTACGCAATTGAAGGCCATGAGTTATTCAGAAATGATGACGTTTCAAATCTCAACCGTCCATATCATGGAACAGCTGTTTATTCTAAACTTCCTATGATTATTGGATATCCTTGTGTGAGAAACTGTCATGGGATAGAGGTAACTATATGGAAAAGGGTCGAACGTCCAGACCTAGTTGTAATTGGAATATACAGATCTTCAACACTTGCATTATCATCTCTTTTGGCTGCCATTTCTACGACATTGGAGGAACATCCTTCTCCACAGGTTATAATCATTGGAGACTTTAATGTCAACTGGCTTGATGAGATAGAACGAAGATCACTGTACAATCTTATCATCAATGCCAATGGCCTTGAGCAACTTATAACTAGTTCTACAACAGATAATGGAACATTGATTGATCATCTGTATACGAATTTGATTGAAGAAGATATCCAGGCAGGTACACTCGAAACTTACTTTAGTGATCACAAAGCAATTTGGGCTTCTCTTAAGGTAAGGAGGTAATCACATTCAAACATAGCATTAGCATGTTACAAGAACAACCATAGTATTTGACACGGTTAGATGAACCCAGGCCAATATTTATTGGCCTGTCTCCAATAACAAAAGGTAAGCATTTATCTTTTTTCCCTGTTTTTTTCTCTTTTTTGTCTCTTTCCAATTTTTCCATTTCCTTTCCTTTTAGGTTCCGGTGGCATATTTTCAAATTATTCAAATAATGTCGAAGCTAAACACTAATAATTTAAAGGTATATAATAGACTAGCACCAAATGCGAGCTACATTTCTTCGTTTTTTTAATAACCCGAGTCTTTGTATTTTACAGATCTGAATCGGCTACAATCACGAAAAAGACTTAAAAAACGTTGACGTTGCTTGTTGCCAACCTTGTGGATCAACGCCAAATTAACTCAAAGATAAGAAGACCAAAACACAAATATCGGAAATCCTCGCTCCTCTTTGCATAAATCTTCGTCCACTTACCGTATCTCTAATTTGCTCACTGCACCAACGTATGCCAAACAAAAGCAAAGTTCTTTCCAAAGCAACATTGATCTACTTCACACAAGACAAAGGAAAAATCATACCTTCCTGGTAGATATATACTACTCAGCAATACCCGTTTATATCAGTGATGAATTGTGGCATTCAATGTTAATTGATTGTTGGATTGATATATTATGAAACTTGCAGTATAGTCTTATTGGACCTACAAACTGGTGCTGTCTTCAGCCAATTGATGCTGATAAGATATCGGTAATCAACATTGCTAACCACCTGTAACTTCCTGCTGGATCTATGAAATGATACTGTCATCTCCAGCTATAATGGTGATATATGTATTGTTAAAAACTTTGGCAAACAAGCCTTATAATCGTACTGGAACAATAACTTCCGATATGCTAGCTAATGATCAAGGAACATAAAAATTTGAAACGTCTAAAACCTTCTTTATAAAGAATTTACAACTATAAAGAATCATAATTTATTATATTATAAAGTGCCTTTGACAATTTGACTGAAGCCAGGAGCTCTTCACTTCACTGTTACGCTTCTGTTTTTCACAGTTTCACACTGACAGGGGCGCACATTAGGGGGGGTGTGGGGGGCGTGACACCCCCCATCTTTGTGAAGTAAGTCTCTAAAAGTCGGTCCCAAAATGTGTATGAGTACAGAAAAAGTCGGTCCATTGCGAATAATTTACGATCTTTACGACTCTTCAAAAAAGGAAAGAAAATTGGCATTTTTGCAATCGAAAATTGAGACTTCACCGCGTATTGCGCGTAAGTAAAAAGGCACTCTAAGAGTAATATTCGTTGCTGAGTGCGCAGGAAATGCCATTAGCGGGCTTCAAATTTCAAAAATTTCTTGGGGGAAAATGCCTCCGAACCCCCCTATATAGCGGTTGGATACCAGACACGATCAGATATCGGCCTGG